ACTCCTTTTCTGTTATTATTCTCTTCAAATCTTTTTCTTTATTTGTAATTTATATAATTCACCTCCCTGTGGTTCGACCCCAGTCTTGCTGAGTTATTTTACTTTGACACTCCTGCACTTGGGATAAGACATCAACTCTTTGATCGTGTCAGTACTGTAATGAGATAATAGGTGCAAGGAGAAGAAGAGTTCCCAGATAAAGCTCACAGCAGAGACTATGTGAAGATTGTATAATAGGAAGTCTCTTATGCTCTTGATAAAAGCAACAAGCGTGGACATTTCCAATGCATGCAATGATGGAAAGATAAGCTGTTGTAGAAGCACCTAATTGAGGGGGTGCGACTGCCTTTAATGAAAAGCGAAGACACCAAAGGGAGTTGGTGTAGGTGGAGCTATCAAGAAGAAAGACATAAAAGCTTCAAACATAGAAATCGATATGTACAATTGCAAGGAGTGTACCGCAACTCTCTCTTTCTATGTGATTAGTTGAAGTGATCTCTCTCATAGTCCAGATAGTAGTAGAGAATTTTTTGAGCCACTTTTAAATATTCTAGTTGAATGAGGATGCGACCACCTATTAAAGGAGAAGATACCTTAGAGAAGGTGTGAGGGTCGTGACTATTAGAGTTTATTTGATATTATTGTATTTTTTATTTTTAAAATATTTTAAAAATTATTCTTCATCGAAAAAGGTATCAAATTGATATTTTTTTAGATGTTTTTCAATAATTTTGACATGTTAATTAAAAAAATAATAAAAATAATAAAAAATAACATTATTTTAAGGTATTTTTAATTAAAAATATTTTTATGAAATATTCTACACAACAATACTAAATACACAATTAGTTGATAGTTTAATAAGTGCTCTTGTCATAGATGTGTGTGATGAAGTCTTTATTTCTATATATAAAATATTTGGATAGAAAAATTCTATATTTTTATCTATATTTTGAATTTATGTTCATAATAATATCATGTTTTCTAGTTCAAACGATATTTTACAATTTAATATTTTATTAGACTAAAAGAGTATATTCCATGTATAAAAATAATAGAAATTACCCGTGAAACATATATCGAAAAAACATAGTGGAAGTTCAACTTTCCACATAGCAGCTTGCATTGATAAAATCAATTTAATTTTTTTTATTGTTTTTGTCTGCTTTTGGGTAAATATTAACTAACAACACAATAGCAACAACAATCATAAATAACATATAATTTTATCAAATAGGATTATCAAATATAATTTTCTCTCCTAAAATCTAAAATATAAGTAGAATAATAATATTTATATAAGTTCTAAATTTATCTTGAAAAGAAAAAAAATCCTAATAAATAATTATATATTTATTGTAGGAATTTTTAAACTAATTAATTATAAAAAATAAATTTCTTAAGTATAATATTTGATTTTCTAAACTAAATAAAAAAAATATAAAACACCATTAAAAATCGTTCTCTAAACTATATAGAAATAAAAATAATTAATAAAATAAATATTTTTTTCTTCTAAAAATCCTCATCATCCTAAACTGATAGATGATCAAATAAACTGATTTATATATGTTTTACTGATTGATAATTGATGCATAGCGTAGTCATTACAATGCTTATGTTCATTTTGAGGTTTTTTGGCTTGAGATGCAATCCTTATCTCATATTTTTTAAATTATTTTTAAATTATTTTAATGTGATAATATTTAAAATATTTTTTTAGAAAAAAGTAATATATTTTAAAATAAAAAAATTTAAAAAATAATTATTACTGTACTTTCATATACCACTTTTAGTATTTAATTTTTATGAACCATTAAAATACTCTTCAAAAGTACATTTAACTTAAAAAAACATTAAATTTATATTCTTTTAATGTTTTACACGTGCTAGTTGTTGCTGCACTTTTTGTTTTTAAACTTCTGCTACGGTTGCCTTTCACAACGTACCTCTCATATACTTGTGATATTACTTTTTCAAATATTGGGAACTGAATGTATAATTTTTTACCCATAAAATTTGGTTTTTCCGTGGATGACAAGGGAAACATTCTATGTAATTTTTGCTTTTCATTCTAAGTAATTTTTGTTTCTTAAATTATTTTTTATATAAAAAGATTAAGCTGATATAATTTTATTACTTTGCTGTATTGATATAAAAAATAAAAAAATCTAAAAAATCATTATTATTATACATTTTAATTAAAAAAATACTTTATACTAGATCACCGAATACGTACCTCGTGGCTGAATTTAAATTAATGAAGAAAAAGGGGGCCGATCGTAAATGCAGTTTCTTACCGTTTTCCAAGTACGAAATATGAATCACAAAACAAGTCTTGTTCAAACTCGGAATTGTTGTTCAAAGACGAACATTAAACATTCATGAAACATTGGTTAAAACTTTGGGTCCAGGTCAAATCATTAACGTCCAGCCATGTTCCTAACAAATCTTACAAACTACGTAAGACCTTCCTGGAAGCTACACGTCACGAACGGACCACAGCAAGTCCATTTTTCTTTTTCAACACCCACATCCATGCATGCACATATATTGTAAAAAATGGAAAAAATGAAGTTATGAAATAGGATGTAACAGTTTCATGACTCATCCTTTACTCTCTCTTTTTTTACTTGTAGGGTAAAAACTTGATTCCTATTTATTGAATTTTTTTGTTGAAATTTGATTTCAT